TCACTAATTAATGAAGGAAAATGAAGGAAATGAGTGGGAATTTACTTACCCAAGAGGTCTTGATGAAAGGAAGCTTCAATGGATTCCTAGAGCTTAGGGGAGAAGAGAGTTCGTGAGAAATTTGGAATAAAACCCGAGCTACTGTTCTGAATTTTTTTTTAAAAAAATCACTGGGCGTTTTTGTTCTATGCGTTCGCGACAGGAGTGTCGCGTTCGCGAATAAGGGGGAGCTGGCAAGCTACGCGTTCGCGAGGGAAGGACTGCGAACGCGAAGAGGAAGCACTGGGGGGTCCAAAGAATTGGCCTACGCGAACGCGTCGACCATCACGCGAACGCGGAGAAGGAAAAAGCAAAGCATCGCGATCGCGATGGCCTGAACGCGAACGCGAAGAAGGGTGGCCTCAAAGCTATGCGAACACGAAGGGGTATTGCGAACGCGAAGAAGGATTCTTCTGTGTAAAAATTGCAGAAAATCTGATGCCTTCCTAAGTTCAAAACCATCCCGAACACCTCCGAAAACACTCCCGAGCTCTCGGGGCTCCTAACCAATCACACACACTAACTTAACGACATCCTACGAACTTAACCGTGCGATTAAATCGCCAAAATATCATCAAAATCAATGAATTAAACCTCAAAATTATCACTTTTTCATCAAACTTCATAAACTTTCATTTTTAGATATTTAGGTCCGAAACACGTCAAATGGCGTCCGATTTCAACCAAATTTCACAGAAAGCGCTTAAACCACATATAAGACCTGTACCGGGCGCCGGAACCAAAATACGGCCCGATACTAACACGTTCTAATCAATTTCCTTTTTCAAATTTCCATATTAAATTCTGAAAAATAATTTCACAGAAAAATTCATTTCTCGGGCTCTCGACCTCGGAATTCGACTCCGGGCATATGCCCAAGTCTCATATTTTTCTACGGACCCTCAGGGACCGTCCAATCACGGGTCCGGGTCCGTTTACCCAAAATGTTGACCAAAGTCAACTTTATTCATATTAATATTAAAATTCATCATTTTTCACACAGAATTCATATTTAAGCTTTCCGGCTACGCGCCCGGACTGCGCACGCAAATCGAGGCAAGCCTAAATGAGGTTTTCAAGGCCTCGGAGACACAGAATGAGTGAGAAAATAGGTGATGACCCTTTGGGTCGTCACAGTTTATTACTTTTTGGCTTGTAATTATTTTCATAATTCTAAGACCTAAGGAAAATTTATTATTTTATTATTTTTAAACTTAATATATAAATATATTTTTCACATATAAATTTATTCGGTACGGTTCGGTATTTTTTCGATTTATTTTAATAAAATAAAAAACCTACCCTAATTATCAGTACGATTATAGATTTATATAAAAATCTATGATATATTTATTAAAAGAAATCTAAAAATCGATTCGATGCGGTACGATTCGGTCGGTTTAGTCGGTTTTTAAATATTCATCGACACCCTTAATAAAGAGAGCATCTCAAAATTTCATTCATATAGAGATCCAAAACATCAAATATTCTCTTTGCCTTCTTCCTTTACATGAAGATCAAATACAACCCAGGAAATCCGCATCTATCTCACGTTCGAGAAATACCCTTAAATTAGAAAGAATAATTCGGAGAGAAGAATCAAGAGAGAAAACAGGATTGTAATCATAAAGATTCATCAATAAATTATTTTTTTCCTTAAAAGAAAATCCAACCTACTCATTAAACATGCATGACACTGATTTTTTTTTCTTACTTAGCTTAATTTTTTATATACAGTATTCACGTCAATTTGTGTGCACATCGATTATTTTATCGGATATTTACTACTTTATATCATCACTGGTATTAAGTTACTTCGCCACCGATGCATAAGTAGATGGAAAGAAATCACCTACTAGTATTTTTTGTCTCCATTGAAATTTTAACCTAAGACTTTATGATTCTCCGCCTACTTATTAATCACTAGACCAAAGTCTTGGATACTTATCTTAAATATTTTTTATACGACGTACAATCCTAGCCTCTTCTTATAACAATCAATCAAATACCAATACTCCTTTACATTAAATTTGTTTCTCTTTTCCCTTCTCTTTATCCAAATTAAGCTTTTTTTCTTCCCGATCCACCATGGTCCATAGGATGTATGACTAGTTTAATTTGATCTCAATGATGCATTAATCATTAGACATTGTTTATTTACGTCATGTAACAACGTAATTCATCATACTATGTGTCACGATCCAAGTTCTCCCTCCATGAACTGTCGTGACGGCACCTAATCTCTACGACTAGGTAAGCCTAACAATTCACGGAAAAAGAATTAAAAGATACGAAACTAGCAATTTACGGGTAATATAATAAAGAAGGTTATAATTCCGTTCGGCATATACAATATCACTCTCTCAAACTGAACAAAACTACTCCCAATACCCGGAATCTCATGAATCATAAGCTAAAGAAAATACATAAGGTTTCTAACTCCAGAAGTCTAATAACAAGAAAAATACAAGGAAAAGCCTATAACTGAAGGGAGAGTAGAGAGGGAGACTTCTAGGTCTGCGAACGCGGCAGATATACATTGAAGTCTCTGAATCGCCTCGCCTCACGGATAGTATGGCTGAGCAGAAGAACCTGGATCTGCACACGGAAAACATGTGCAGGAAAGGACATGAGTACATTACAGTGGTACCCAATAAGTGCCAAGCCTAACCTCGGTCAAGTAGTGACGAGTATATATATATATATATATATATATATATATATATATATATATATATATATATATACAGTAAGAAATATTACAGTATAATTGAACTACTAACAATCAATAAAGATGAAATCAAAGAAAGAAATAATTTAGTACACAGAGTGAAAGCAACATGGGATCTCCCAGGATAACGTCCTGTAGTCCCAGACGTAAATGTGCAGAGGATCTCCCGGATACCGTCCCGTAGTCAAAATCATAAATGCGCAGGGGGATCTCCCGAAATACCGATCCGTAGTCCCAAAATAAATATTGAGTACAGGGGGATCTCCCGGAATAGCGTCCCGTAGTCCCAAAGTAAATGCACAACAGTCTCAACAAGGAATTTACAGTTGTATACGAGTTCGTATCAAGAAAACAGGTAATTCTACCCTAAACATGCTACACAGAATTCAAGTAAAACAGTTAAATCAGTTAAGACAGTTAAGTCACATAAGCATGCTTTCCTAAACTACACAGGAGGCCTCAAATAGTAATATTACTCAATTAAAGGAAAAACACAGATATTTATTTAATGAAAATGGGGTTTTTCAACAATTAACACATGTACGCACTCGTCACCTCAGTACAAGGCATTCATATAACAACAGTACCAAAATCCTAAGGGGAGTTTCCCCCATACAAGGTTAGGCAAGCCACTTACCTCGAACCAAGCTCAAATCAAATTCGAAATCACGCTCTTGCCACGAGTATCCAACTCCGAGTGGCCCAAATCTAACCAAATCAATTTCATAATGTAAATATAACTACAAACAACTAATTTAACTAATGAAATCGAAGCTAAGGCAAGAGAATAGAAAACGCCCAAAAATTCCTCCCCGGGCCCACGTCTCAGAATTGGGTAAAAATTAAGGATTATGAACCCTCATTCACTCACGAGTTCACTCGTAAAAAAATTATCCCAATCCGACGTCAAATTCTTATCCAAAACTCAGATTTTCCATTGGGGAACTTTTTCCTCCATTTAAACTTCTACCGTCAAATTCCTTAATTAGATGAGAAAAACAATAATAGATTAATGTATTAGAACCAAATTAGAGTTAGAATTCGTTACCCAATAGTTCTCCATCAAAATCTCTCAAGAAATCGCCTTCTACCGAGCTTTAAATCAATTTTTGAAGTTATGAACTCAAACCCTTGATTTCACTCTTTCTGTCCAGCTATTTCTGCTTCTGTGAGGGGTCCACCGCACCTGCGGTCCCGCTTCTGCGTCTCAGGCTCCGCACCTGCGGAATTTCATTAAGCCTCTAGATTCCGCACCTGCGCTCCTCTCTTCGCAGATGCGGTTCCGCTTCTGCGGTCCTTGAGCCGCATTTGCGGACCAATTGCCCTTATGCCTTAGCTCGCATCTGCGGTTGCCAAACCGCTTCTGCGGTGCCGCACCTGCGGTCCAAGCTCCGCAGGTGCGGAACCAACAGGTTCAGCACATCAGAAAATTGCCTAAGTCCAAATTCAATTCCGTTAAGCATCCAAAACTTACCCGAGGCCCCTGGGACCTCAACCAAACATGCCAACCAATTCTAAAACATCATACGAACTTAGTCGAACCTTCAAGTCACATCAAACAACGCTAAAACCACGAATCACCCCCCAATCCAAGCCTAATGAACTTGAAATCTCAAGAATTCTACAACCGATGCCGAAACCAACCAAACCATGTCCGGTTGACCCCAAATTTTGCACACAAGTCACATTCAACACTACGGAACTATTCCAACTTTCGGAATCGGATTCCGACCCCGTTATCAAAATTTTGCTATCGATCTGGAAACTTAAAAAATTCAACTTTCGGCATTTCAAGCCTAAATAAGCTACGGACCTCCAAAACACAATCCGAACACGCCTCTAAGCCCGAAATCACCCAACGGAGCTAACAGAATTGACGAAATTCCATTCCAAAACCGTCTTCACACTGTTCCGACTACGGTCCAAATTCTAAAGCTTAAGCTTTCATTTAGGGACTAAGTGTCCCAAAACACTCCGAAACTCAAAACGAATCATCCCGGCAAATCACAATAGCAGAAATAAACACGAGGGAAACAGTTAATGGGGGGTTGGGGCATAAATTCTCAAATCGACCGGCCGGGTTGTTACATCCTCCCCCTTTTAAAACATTCGTTCGTCCTCGAACGAGCATAGAGACATACCTGAAGTGGTGAAAAGATGAGGGTAACGGCTGCACATATCTTGCTCGGTCTCCCAACGTGGAATAAACTAGAATTCCATATATGCAACGTGGAAGAAACTAGAATTCCATTACATAAACTATAGACATAGTTTTATACATTAACATACATATAATTAATACAATTACACCTCTACCTAATTATATAGGACATGAGCAAGACAACTCAACATGTACATTAAAACCGATATATATCAACATATAGAAGGTGAATAATTACTTTACGAGGATTAATTGTTGTCGAGCTTCAATCCTAATTTCTTCCTTCATTCTTCTTATGAATTCTTCAAATTTCTTGTTCAGTTCCTCCGTGCTCAACTTACTCAATGGCTCATCATTTTCTTCTTCTTCTTCTACTACTTCTACGTCTTCCATTAAAAATCCATTCTCATGAGACTCCATTTCATTTTTTTCTTCATAATTATTATAATCTGCCTCTACTATGTTGTAAGTTCTACAACATTCTTCGTCTCCAAAACCACCTTCTTCCTTTGATGTTGCCTCTTTCTTATTATATTCCACGAGTACTGCCGAATTTGAGTTTTCAACGTTTAGAGACTTACTGAGTTGTATCATCACTTTCTTATCTTCATGTATTACGTGTTCATTTGATGTATTACATAGAGTTTCGGCTTCTAATTGCAACTCGTTCAAGAATCCATTTTCTTCTTCTTCTTCTTCCTCCTTCTCCTCGCTCGAAGTCTTAGCAAGGAGCACCAAGAATATTCCATTGCATATCAAAAACACGTAGTTTTTGTCCGTGACATGGCTTACAAGTTGGAAAGGAAATGCAGAATATGAGAATTTTAATGAATGGGTGAGGAAGGAGAAGTAAGACGATGAATAGGAAAATAGGAATGAAAATAAAGAAACTGAAACTAGTAGTTGAGTGAATATCTTGATAGGCTTAGATGCCAAAAATCTGGCTACGCTTTGTAATAAGCTTTGGTACTTCATTTGTTTAGTTATTTTTATTTTTTCCTGTCTTGGCTTTCCTTTCGAAGGAAGGGAGGAGGCCAAGGATAGTAAGAAACTAAGGTTATGCGCAAATTAAGGAAATTGATAGAGGTTGGTGCCTTTTATAGGCATTTCAAAAAGAGTAACGCACTAGCTGGGTGTTTGGCAAATTAAATATTGGGGTTAATATAATTCCGTGTATGGTCATTCAGTTGGATGGTTATTGTGTCAAATTCCTAAAACTAATTATTATATTGTTGCTGAAAAATAACTTAATTATCTATATATTCACCGAAAATAAAAGAATGTCAGAAAATACTAAATTCAATCCGAAAGAACACATGCAAGTTACTATCACACGTATAATTTGTCATGTGAATAGTTATTTATTGTCGACTCCCCTTACATAATTTTCTTATGGTTCCATCACTAAAAATGACAACATATTTTACTTTTCGGTCTCAGTCTAATCTTCAAAAGTTTTTTCACCATGTGGCATATCAATCATACGGTTTTTCTTAAGTAGGTAGGAAAACGGGTTTTTATTTTACTTTTTTGAGTGATACTATATGGATATTACGTAAGGTATTGAATTGAGTGGTGATAATCGGCTAAAAGTACATATAATATGATGACAATTGCCTCATATTTTAGCATAATAATAGTAATATTTCGAGTGTATTATTATGCTTTGAACCTAATTGTGTTGTTTACTTGTGTAGGAGTGATTGGAAAAAGAAGGGAGGAATAATGGTTCAATGCCCTAGTCAGTGTCCAACACCAATCGTAGCACGAATTTCAGTGCCATAGTCAGTACCTAGCACCCATTATAGCACCGAATTTCAATGCCATAAACAGTGCAGCACGCCCAGCATATTTCGGAGGCCAACTTTTTCCTGGTTTGCTTGGACTTGGTTAAAATCTCTAGGACTTTTCCTACACCTATAAATAGTCCCTGCACACACTTTTTGAAGGGAATTCGACTTAGGGAGAGCAAGGAGTCGCCGTGGAGGTCGGATTTCATCTTTTCTTTCGCCAAACTTAGTAATTTTTATATTTCGTTTAGATGATTTATTGTTTGGCTAGCTATCATGTCTATGTGGAGCTAAACTTCTCGCTCTAGGGTTGTGGTTCTTTCATGACTATTGTTATTTGGATATTGATTTTGGTTTCTTCATTATCATATTAGTTTATTTATTCAATCTGGCACTTAATTATTTGATTGCTTGATCACCAATTGAATATTATCTACGAATCTAGAATTGAACTCGAAAGTGGAAATTCTAGATTGCATTTAGGATTGAGCAGAGTAAATTCTTGAACCTGGGCATCGGGGAATGGATTCGTGATTAGGATAGACATATACCTAATTGCCTTGCTTGGTTGATGTACATGAATTATATATGCGTTCTTGCTAGTTCTTATTCCATAGACATATAGGCGTTAGATTACCTTGAATAGGCGAGTAAGAACTCGACAGATTCTTATGAGCGATGTTAACCCTGTCAACCAATAAGCTAGATAATTAGTTAGTCCATCTAATTGAAGAATATAATTGAAATATTAGATAGTCCATAACCCTAGATCGTTTTCATCACATTGATAACATAAAAACCTGCTCTTCCTTTATTCAGAGTCCATTATTTGTTTTCGTTTTATTTTAATTAGACCAGAGTCATATACATCTAGGTTTAATTCTTGTTTAAATAATTAGGATGGTCTAATTTAATTAATAGTTAATCATAAATTCTCGTGGGTTCGACATCTGACTTTTAGTTGTACGACTATTCATAAAATCACGCATCAAAATTTAGCATCCATCCATCCATGGGTGGCACCTTAGGATTGCCATGTGGAGGGGGGCAAACAACTGTTGGTTATACTCATCCATTCACTCAACTCTTGATGTGTTCATTTAGCGTATAATTGAAATACTTTAGCTGTCCCACATTACCAAATTGTGTATTGGTGAATCGAGAGACAGATTTGCTTTGTTTTATGGCTGAGGTTTTGAGTCGTTTGACCCTCTTTTTTAATTATTTTGCCTCCATGATTGAGCATCCGTATGTGTCAACTCAATCAGTTGCACACGGGAATTGAATACACCAAGCTACTGTATAACTTATTTAAAGATTAAAAAATAGAATACTTGTCCACTATGTTAATTACGAGGATGAATATTAATTATAAGGTGTGTATTGTTTATTAGTTCTTAATTAGGTTACGTCATTGTTCTATCACTATTTTTCCAATGTCGTTGGAATATTTTGGGGTGATACATTTTTCTTGAGTTTCTTTTAGAGTTAAAATCGTTAGTAGCTAACTGTTAGCCCCTCGGCTTGATTAATCGAATATGGCATGGACGTGACGAGGGATTTACATTATGGACTTCGGCACGATCCTATGATGATTGTGACATCATGTTGACAAAGCTGTCCGACATGGGCAGGTATTGATGGGCATGGACTATGGCACGACGACATGTGGCTAAGGTGTCAAGGCATGACAAGACCATTGCATTGTCGTGGCCATGGCAAGGCAAAGACAACGGGCAGCAGAAGCATAGCAAAGGCTGGAAAAACAAAGGCAAGCTAAGGCAGGGCGTGGCAAGACAGATGAGCGCATGCAAGGTAGTGTCATGGGCGAGCTGGACAAGCGGCAGTGGCAGATATGCGCGCAAAGGCATGCTGTACGAGAGCTTGGCGCAAAGACATGACAGAGTTGGACTTTGGCGCCAAAATTCGAAAGGTTGCGCCCATGTGCCACGCACATGCAGGGTAGTTGGCCAGTTGGAGCAGTTTTCTGTTTATTGTGGCTAAGTGGGGCTGTGGGAAGTTGTTTTTTTTTTTTGAAATTCGAAATTTAAAATCTCTTGCAGTTGGGGATGTCAACTGCTAGGTTTTAGATAAGGTTGGAGCCAAAAATGGTTGTCTATATATTCCTAGATAGGCAGAGTGTTGGCTGCCTTTGACTCCTTTTTGTAAGGCTGTGTTTATATGCTTCTTTGTGGCACGAGTTTAAATACAAAGTTGGAAAGAGATTCTTGTAATTGTCTGCCTTGTTTCATTTCTATATGCTGTCATAATCTAAGTGTTAGGCCAAAACGTGAGGGAAAAAGAAAGGAGACTGAGTTATTATTGTGTGACTGCCGTGCAGTGTCAATACGAAAAATATTGACCCTGTAACAACTGGTATCAGAGCAACGTCGGCAAGATCTTGGAATCATCATTGGGGGAAATGCAGAACTTCGTGAAAGGCTTCAGAAGTTGGAGGCGCTTGTGGGAATTACTGATGACGCAGTAGATCTGGTTGATATTCTGACGCAGATCCATGGCATCAACACAAACTTCAACACGTTCATGAGAGTGTTGATACCCAACTGGTGGAATTGCAGGCTTTCCAGGAAACTGCTGCTGGGCAGTTGAAAAAATTGCAGAAGGAGAATGAGGATCTTAAGACGGAAATTCAGATCCTCCGACGGGCTGTTGCAAATGTGCCGCAAGGAGGTTAAGAACATTCTAAAATTAAGATTCTAGAACAAAAGGCATTTGATGGTGTGAGAGGTGCCAAGGAACTGGAAAACTTCTTGTGGGACTTGGAGCATTATTTCTCTACGGCTCATGTCCCGGAGAAGGACAAACTGACCATGGCGGTGCGTTATTTTAGAGGAGATGTAGTGCTGTGTTGGCGTACCAAAAATGCATACGATGAAAGTGCTAGCAGACCCAAGGTTGATACTTGGGAGAAACTTCGTGATGCGCTGGGGGAAAAGTTCTTGCCTAGCAACTCGTCTTGGGTTGCTAGGGATCGCTTGAAGCGGTTGCGACAGACTGGTTCCATTCGGGACTATGTGAAAGATTTTTCATCTTTGTTGCTAGTCATCCAAAATAGGTCGGATGAGGACAAACTGCACAATTTTATTTCCGGAATGCAGGGCCGGGCACAAAACAAAATTCATAGGCAGACGCATTGGTGGATTTTCGCTCAACGGGTCTAACTTCTGATCCTGCCTCTTCTTCTAAGAAAAATAAAAAGGATAAGAGTAAGGACTGGAGGAAGGATAACCAGAAGCAGGATGGAAATGAATGAGGCAAGGGCAAGATGGATGCTTCTTCGTCAAAAACAAACATGCCAACGGGTGGTGAAAAGGTTTGCTGGACATGCCAAAAACCTGGACTTCGTGCACAAAACTGTCCAAATCAAGGAAAGATTAATGCTCTTCTTGCTGAAGAGGAGAAACAAGGAAAGGGACAGGAAGTTGCTGCCAATGTGAATCCGTTGCGGCTGCTAAACACGCTGGCTTGTGTGACTGTAGCAGATGATGAAGAAAATGCTGCCAAGGAAGAAGTTGCATACGTGAACGCTACGGGAGATGATTTGGCTGATGCCTATTCCACACTAATGTATGTGGATTTGAAAATCGGAAATAAGAGTGTCGTGACAATGGTTGATACCTGAGCCACGCACAACTTTGTTGCCTCCAGAATTTTTCAAGAGTATGGGCTGCAAGTAACAAAGTGTTCGACGAAGATGAAGGCGGTGAACTCAAAGGCGCAACATGGTTATAGGGTGGCGCTGGATGTCCCGATGATATTGGGCCATTGGTCTGGAAAGTTCAACATGACTGTTGTATCATTGGATGACTTCAATGTGTGGTTGGGATTGATTTTCTGAAGAAGAACAAAGTCTCTCCAATTCCTCATTTGGATGGACTTATGTTCATGGGGGAGACAAACCCCGATTTTGTGAAAGGTATTCGGCCCTATGGGGATGAAGGAAAAAATGTTGGGATTGCTGCTTTGATTTCTGCCGCTGCATTTGAGAAAGGCTTGAAGAGGGGTGAGGAGACTTACCTCGCTACACTCGTTGAAGTCAAGCCAGATGTGCAGATTGAGGTCCCGGATTGTGTTGCAGATTTGCTGAAGGAATTCAAAGATGTGATGCCTCCAGAATTGCCAAAGGAGTTACCACCGAGGAGGGAGATTGATCACATGATTGAACTTATTCCTGTATCACTGCCACCTGCGCGACCTCTTTACTGCATGTTGCCTATGGAATTGACTGAACTAAGGAAGCAATTGTCTGAGTTGCTTGATGCTGGGTTGATTCACCC